ATGTGCGAAGAGATTTACATCACGATGTCACGCTGTACTAAAGTTGATTAAATTCACTGACTTTTCGCCTCCACGAAAATATATAACGAGTATTAACTAAATCCCGTGCAACGAGCATCCACCCATAGAGATTACAATTTTGAGATTGACCCTAACGGATGGCAAAAAGTAAGAAGTCTGAGAGAACTGTTTCCTTCACGTGTTTCTTTGTTTTCCTCAAACCTCAGTCGATATGTTGTAAAAATAAAGAGCAGTACAGCAGGATGGCTACCCTGCAAGCAGTAGTTTCTCCAGGCTGGACGCATTGGAAGGGCAGAATGTTATTTTTCATTAGACGACTTACTTCGGTCGATGACAGAGTTGATTAACAAGACAAGTCAGACAAAAACAATGTAAAAATTTAGACCACGAACTGATTTAGACTTATTAAAGCAACTTTGCTCCAGCCAAGTTTTTGTGTGTTCAGCACTATTGAACACCTTATCTTCATTGTGCATTAAAGTATTTATTAACTATTTAGTCATGCCAAAAGAGCGTTTTTTTTAACGTTTTGCCAGTGTAACAAACAAGTGTTTTAGTTAACATTGACATTTTGTTAAACCAAACAAAAATGGATGTTTAAGGACGTTTGCAGATAAACTACTGCCTACAGCCCTTTTGAACGGTCTCCTTTTTTACAGGTTCACGCAAGTGAAAATTCAGATCTGAAAGAACACTGTAGCGTGTACGCATTAAGTAGCCAAACGCAAACAGAATTTAAACAGCAGTGTAATCATCGCCATGATGAGAGGTGTGAGGAATGTAAAGCCGTAGAATCAACACTGGCAGGTATTGAGCGACTGATGTAAGATGCATTTCACCCCAGTGGGGATGACTGTGATGAAGCGCTCTATCTAATTCGGACAGCACAACATGCCATTCATACCTGGAATTGCCACCAGTTAAGGACTGTTCGACAGGACCAAGGCAGGTCGGATGAGTACACTGTACTAATTGTAAATGACTGGGCCATGAAATTCCTTTGTCACATGCATTGTGAATCATAAACTAGATTGGATGCAACGAGGAAAATTTCACGGCACATTTCTGTTGTCTATTGCAGGTTCCTTTGTGAGCTACAATCGCAAGCATTAATTCACCCCATACAGTGCTGCAAACAAGACGGCTCTGCAGTCATCTTCATAATACAGCATGTACTTTATTCACTATCCTCTGAGCACCCTAACATCACAAAGGCAGTCCTTTATTAAGACAACGCTGACTGCTACCAATCCTATGGAACACTTTTCCCCTTTCCTTCCATGGAGGCTTCAACTGGAAAAGAGTGGCAGGTGTAGATTTCAAGGAGGGAAGGGGGCAGCTGAAAGAATGACTGCAGCAGCAAAGTCTCACATTAGGATATTCATAAATGAGGGCACTGATGTGACAAATGCAACGTAAATGAAAGACGCTGTGCTTTCGCATGAGGGAGTCAAGAGTGTTCACATGGTTTGGAATCAGCATATGTTGTTAGGGTGGCTGGTTACGTGTGAAAGTCCTCGGTTGTCTTTTCGATGCTACGTAAGTAATGGCTACAATCAAGCAGGTGAAGAAGCTTCTAAAGAAGGAGCTTTCACCCTTCCATTCCAAAATGGAAAATATGATCACAACGTTTAATAAACTAAAAGTTTCAGTTGATTTCTCAGACAAGAACGGCAATCTACAGACTCAAATCAAGCAATCGAATAAAAAGTTCAACAGCAGAAAATAGAATTACGCAAAGTAAACTTCTTCTGCCTAAACTCACATCGTTCGAAACTTGTCAATACTACTTTTTTAAATAATAAATTGTGGTGTATGACGTCATACCACGTGCTCTTACATCACACTCTTAGAGCGGTTTTCACATTCTTTTGTGTATTTCGTTGGGAGAATAATAGGTCTGTTGAATTTCTGAAGCTCGATCTTACGCCTTACAGAACGACGCAATACGTAACAGTGGTGACAAAGTACACCCAGCAAACGAACAGTCAACATCGACCAACGAGGAATTACCAGAATTATGGACGAACACTGCTTTTAAACCTCCAACATCAGCAAGTGATATGGCAGGCAGACCACCCTTTGATACTTTTAATTTTGGGCCGGGTTGTTTGAAGCTGGGTTAAGATAACCCAAGGTTAATCCAAAACTTGAACTCGGGTATGAGAGCTTAAAAGCAAATCCAGTTTAATTCTCTTTGCCTAAATGTTGACGACTGGATACTCTAAAAAGAATAGAGAAATATTCAAGAGACTGCTTTTGATAAAAAGAAAAAGAAACCCATTTTAAAACTTTACCCCAAGTTAGCGTTGATCTCCATTCTAACAACTAGGCCCTGAGTCTGAAGATGTCGAGAGTTACCTTGAGCTGTTACAAGGATATTTCATTGCTAATGATATTAAGAACGATTCAGACAATGCCACTAAGCGAAGAGCAATACTTCTTACATCTATTGGCAGCAGTGCTTAGGAGTATCGAAAGATTTATCCTTCCCAGAAGAGCCAGACAGGAAGACCTGCGACCAGCTGGCAACTCTACTGCAGGGTCATTATAAGCCCACTTGTGTAAAAGTGGCAGTAAGATACAGGTTCCACTCTGCAAGCCTGAAACCAGGGCAAAGTACCGTTGACTTTACTCCTTGCTAGGACGTGAATTCACAAACAAACAGTTAAATGATAGTCGACACGATTGATTCACTTGTGGGCTTCATTGGGAGCAGATTTAATGGAAATTGTTATCCGCTGACTTCACCTTCAAGAAAGCCATGGACGCTGCTATCACCCAAGGAATGGCGCAGAAAGATGTACGAGACGTTAGAGAGACATCCCAAGGTGAAAAGTCGTCTTCGAATGTGAACAAGGTTAAGCATGACAACAGGTCATCACACAGTCGCTTGTCAGGCCGACACACGGCAGTAGTGGGAAACAACCTCAGTAGACTGGAGATCAAAAGAAGCGATGTTTTCGCTGTGGTATTACCAACCATACTCCAGATAACTGCAAATACAAAGATTCAGAGTGTTTCAAGTGTCATTTAACAGGTCATTTTCAGTCTGAGTGTCATAATGTGAAACCGCCACTGAAATGGTTGATGGAAAAACAGCATAAAGGTCACACGGATCAGGATTCCAGAGGATGAGTTTCTCAGGTCCATCTTTCATGTGGAACAGAAGAGAAAACCTGAGTCTTGCAAATCAGGACTTTCAGTGCCTGCAGTAAGAATTCACGAGCAGATCGAAGATGTTCGATTACAGATGGAAGTAGACAAGGGAGCGGCAGCTTCAATTCTTAATTACATAGATTATGAGCGGTATTTAAAGTACCTTGCACTAAAAATCTGATTCTTCTTCAGCCTGTGCAAGTAGATAAAATTAAGTAAACAGAACAAACCACTCTCCTTTACAGTACATGATTACCAGATGTGTGTTGAGATTTTGTGGAATAGCATATTCATTCTGAAAAAATCCTTTTTTAGGTCCCTCGGTGTCATTTTCAGCAATGAAGACATGCTTTCTATTCTACAACAGTTCCATACGTACCTTCCTCCTTCAGCTGACAAAGGATACGATTCTCACCTATTTTTAGGGGATCAACTCACTGTTGAGAGGGCAGTCACCGTTATCTCCTCAGTTGCTAATGGTTACAAACCAAAGGATCATTTAGAATTACCTTGCAACTGGGTAATTAGCATGCTGGAGTCAAAATTCTGTCAGTAAGTTAAAAAAAATTATTATCATTATTATTATTATTAATATTACACCCAGACCAGTTTGGATGTATTTCAGGTTCCTCTACTACACATGCCCTAGCATGTTCCACAAGTTCGCACTCTCCATGGAACTGGGGACTGTCTGTGGACCTTTGTTCTAGATTACAGAAAAGCGTTTCACTTGATACATCATACAGAACAAAACAAGACTTTTTTTCTCTGCATCGATATTTAAACCTTTTCTTCGATGAAGTTTTCATTTTAATAATCAAAGACTGGCTGAAAATGTAAGTGCTGTCCACTCCTTTTGATAAATGAGGTTCTGTTTAAATTCTTTTACCCTTTATAGAAAGACAATAATTTTTCATTCTCACCGCTATTCCTATTTTCACTAATAATGAACTTCAAACTAAGGAACGATACCCAAGATACTAAACACCTCTCTGATCCCAATAAATTGTTATGTCACGTTGTTCCTTTCGTTCCCACAAAGAAAGTAATTTATTTCGAATATTTCGCCGGTTCTTTAACTTTGAAACGTGATAGGTTAGACGACACTGACTAACAAATTCATCCAGAGTCTGTCATTGGATAATCCAATATGAATCCTGGATGTGTTTTATCAGTCATTCCAACACTGTTGGCGCAGTGACGTGTGGTGTCTCGGATCGTGAAAGGAGCTCTGTAGCTATTTCAACCCCCCCCCCCCCCCGTAAAAACAACTAAATTAATAAGGGCAATGTCGGATCCATTCCCAACTAGTGTACGACTGCAAGAGAAAATAATGGCAGAGAAGTAACCTAGTAGGTAAAACTAATTCATGTCTATTGTTTGAGGTCTTGTAGGTCTTGCAGACTGTTTGAGTTACGGTCTTGTTCTTGGTGAACAGAGCAGCTGTAAAAAAGTACTAGCTCAAGGTCGATACGTTTGGCTTTGTGTGAATCATTTTTTAGGTAACATCCTTGGCTACCTTCTTTTATTTCTACATATTGCCCCCTAGAAAATTCGTCTTTGCACAACCCTTCTATCATGGGGGCACCATCTTCATGTGGTGGTGCCACGAGTGGACCAATGGCTATTTCTGAGGGGGGATGGCTCATCTTTGCCACTTTCAAGCTTCTATTATTTGTGCAGTGCCATTACTAAATAGGCCATTTGTTGTGGGCCCTGGAAATTCACCTACCCTGGAGAAGCTGGTGACGAATACAACAACTCGCCAGTTTGTTGATCTGGCTGACTAGTTCGCAGAAAATCTCAAGGCTCAGTAGTCAGAACCCCACACTTATTTGGATGGCAAACTCCTGTTCACATCTAAGAAGTGGGGCCGGGAGATTAATGACATCACCACTTGGGTTGAGGCTTTCACCATATTCTCTTGGATCTTTTGCACTGCACACTCTTTCAGGTGGCAAATTGTCACACAATACAAGCTGCTAATTATCAAGACTTCCCCAGGAAAGCCTGGCGTCACTAGGACATTGCCTTTCAGAGGGATGCAGGAGCATGAGATCTGAGAGATTGGTCCAGCACGAATCTGGATTTTTACAATTTTCGTACTCGCACTTCATCCTTTCAGTCAGGTTCCTCCTCAAAGGGCTCGCACAGCCTTTTCATTCCTCTGCCCTGTTGCCCAATTTCTGTCGTTCATGAAATGATGGTTCCCACCAATGACCCTGTTAGTGACATTTCGAGTTGCGTTACATTATGTACGTCCTGACAATTATCACGTGTTTTGGTCATGTGACGATGTTGTTGAACTCGGACTCTTGAATGGAACCTGACTCGAGACTTGTCGAGATTTGTCGAGATAGTTTTGTTTTGTTTTGTTAAGAGCTTACAGTCTTGGAATAGAAACAACAGACCCTTTGGTCTGTGCCGCTATTGTCACTGTTGCGAGAAGTGTGAAGGCGACCACCTGCATGTCAACTGTCCTTTACAGGCATCCAGGTCACATATCCCACACACCTGCCCAGCAACCCCAACTCGAAATAAGCACCAGAGGTGTTAACATGGTGGCCAACCCTCGTAGTGGTACTTGTCAAAAGGACCTTGAAAATAGTGTAAATATGTTATGTTCTGATTAATCTGAAAACAGTTTGATCACCATTTCCGATAACGCTTCTCTTTCTGTTCCTGATTCACCTGCCATGTGCCAGTTCACGTCAGCACATACTGTGAATACATCACATTCAGTTCAGGTCTCAAATGATTTGTTGCCAATTTCGGTGAATGCTGCCCTTTGAATTGAAGAATTACCTGCCAAGTGCCAGTTGATGACAGCCCATTGTCCTGTCTTCAAGTTGTCCTCCTTCCCTTGATCTGTCCGTCAAGAACTGGTCCCTCCATCCAGTGTCACTCCAATCGATGCCCACAAACGTCAGCATTAGTTATGCCTTCACCCCAATCAAGCTGGTGGACTATGTAATTTCTGGTCTTAGCTTTGGTTTTCATCTCGGTTTCAACCCAGAGCCGGCATCCTCAAAATAAGCAAGTCAAAACAAGCCTACAGCGTTTCTTCAGCCTTCGGTAATTGACCAGTATCTCCTCACAGAACTTGAGAAAGGTCATCTTCCTGGTCCCTTCTCAAAATATCCTTTAGCGAACCTTCACATCAGTGGCTTTAGAATAATCGCGAAGAAATACCAGCCTGGCAAATGGCGGCTTATTTTCGACTTATCTAGTCCCCAAGGTCACAGTGTTAACGACGGGATTCCCAAATACCCATTTTTGGCTCAATACATGAAGGCTGACAATATCATTGATGACATCATGACCCAAGGTCGAGGAGCTCTTTTACACGTAAACCAACCCACGGCCTGGCTAGTTATCATTCCTGTACATTCTCATGACTGTTACCTGTTAGGCATGAAGTGGCAGGGAGAATACTTCATCGATTTGGCCCTACCCTGCAATTTATGCCCAGCTCCTTTCATATTCCCTTCTTTTGCTGACCTGCTTGAGGGGATTATAAAACACAACTATTAAATACAACTTCTATAACATTACTTGGATGACTTCCATACCTTGAGCCCTCCGGTCTCTCCTTCCACCCATGTTGAATGGGAGTTGTTTTGGACCAGAATGAGCAGTTAATACGTGGTATCAAGAAACAATTTTCCCGAAAAAATTAATTCCATGCTGTAAAAAATTATCTAATTATGCACTCAAATAATATTCCATTTGGTCTAGGAAAACTCCTTGCTTCTCTTTCAAATCTAAATGTTGTTTGACTAGGGTTCATAGCCACACCTATTGGCACGTGTTAAGGGCTACACATTGATGATTCTATTTTAGCCATTGGTGGAGTTATTTTTGAATGAAATGCTTGAGTATGATTGAGCTGAGATATGCCTTACAGGCTATTAACTATGTGCAATACAAGATTGCATGCCTCACGTTCTTTTCCATTCTACAGCACATCTTTAAGAAGTTCTTCTCTGGCAAATCAGAGAGTGACAGCTGTACACTATATTCCGACCGCACCCTAAAAGATAACAAGTCTGATCCACACACAGCATACCCTGCTGACCAGGAAATCCTGCTCATCAACCTTAAGTCAAGAGTGATTGCCGCTGCAATTTCAGTATTAGGGTTTACAGACAAACCAAGACAACCAACCAAGTTTCCACTTCCTGTAGACATTGCCAAGCAATCCAGAGTGCAAAGATTAGAGTATTTAAAGAAAGCTGTCTCATTAATTGTGGACAAAGTTGTGTTCAATTATGATTCTGTCAGAAGGCTTCTTGATGACATCTTGGCCAATCAAGAAAGTCAAGATGAAACAGATAAGCAGGAACGAACAGTGGGTAGCAGATTCCCATGCGGTTTTCCTGGGTGCCAGGCTTCATTTAAGTATGATGTGCGAAGAGGAAGAAATGTGAGTTCTCTCATGACTCATGTAGTGAACCCAGTCTCCTGGCTGTAGTAATTTTTATTTCATAAGAGAGGCTCCTCAACAGGAACTTATGATCAAGAAATCCACTTTCAAACAAGCACACATTTTGAAATTAATTATGGACAAAAGCGTATGGCCGTAAATGGAAAATATTTCACAGATGGGTAAAACGCAGTATTTTTACTTTACATGTAACCTAGATATTATTGTACTGTAAGTTGTTTATTTGTCTATTAAACTTCATATGGAAATGCGCTAGTGTCACTTCTCTTGCCAAAGTTAACAACATAGAGGATAAAGGAAAAGATCTTAGACCTACTTCCCTTACCCTCCTTTAACAAAAGTCTCTGAACATTTTGTTGTTCAAGAGCATGTGAAGCCAGCTGGTCTAAAAACGCTATGCCCAAGCCAGTTTGGATGTATCGCAGGTTCCTCTACCACGCATGCCTTAGCACATTCTCCACGTTTGCACTCTCGATGGACCTTTGTCACAAATTACAGGGAGGCGATCAGACCAGTTTGGATGTATCCCAGGTTCCTCTACTACACATGCCTTAGCATACTCCACATGTTTGCGCTCTCGATGGAACTGGGGACTGTCTATGGACCTTTGTCACAGATTACAGGAAGGATTGATCATAGTCTGTTGATGACCAACCTTTTCTAAAATGATATTAATCCTTACATCATAAATTGGATTGCAGCTTTCTCTCCAAAAGGGCAGCAAAGAGTCAAACTAGAAAACAACTGCTTCTCCGAATGGCGTTTGGTTTGTGCAGGGGAACCATAAGGAACCAAACTGAGCCACTGGCTGTTTCTCATAATGCTAAACGATCTCAAGGCAGATACTTTGAGCAGTCTTTTCAAGTACCTACACAACACAACTGCCTACAAGATAGTGGAGAAAAAATGGACTAGTCGTGAGACGCCTGTCCTTGGTGAAGTGCCTACATTGTCTGCCAAGAACAAGTTCCAACTCCACCCCAGTCAATGCAATGAACTAAGAATAACCTTTGCATGCTCTGACAAATCAAGAATTCGTTGAAATCGATGGTTGTATGATTAATACAGTACAGGTAGTTAAGCTATTAGGCTTCTATATTCAAGGAGACATTAAGTGGAATTCTCATGTAACAGAAATGCAACAAAAAGCTGCCAAACGCTTAGTACAACTAAAGAGTGTACAATGACCACCTGAAGAAGTGCACTACTCAGATGCCCTGTCACGTTCAGGCCTTGGTACTTTACAGCAAAAGACAGAGCTCGGTAATAAACTTTTTGACAAAGTTGTAGAAAATCCCCTTAATGTTTTGCACCCTCTCATACCATTCGACGACGGATCCTCTAGCGACCTCAGGAACTCTACATCATACTGTGTAAAGCCATGCAAGACCAATAGTTGCCGTGATACTTTTATAAACAAATGTGAAAGTATTTTTGACAATTTATAGTTAGTCTAAGATTTCATGTATTTTCGTAGTTGTAAGATTCATTTAGGTATTATACTTCATAACGTTTTTCTATCATTGTAAGACTTAGCAATTTAGTCCACACTGCTAGTAAGCTATTCAACAGACACACTTGCATGCACGAGGGTAATGAAGTCCAGTATCATTTAACCCTTTAATTCCCAATATCAAAGTAACGATTCTCCTTTTGTCCTCATGCGAAGAAGGGAGTTGTCAAGATATTAAGGGAGTTTTTTTATCAAGGGGAATCACATACTTTATTGTTATATTCCCAGAATTTCACTCAACTAAACAGGGACTGCCATTGGTTGATTCTTGGTCACGTGGCCTTGACGAAAATCAAATGTATCCCGATCGTGATACATTAAACAATGTATCCCGCTCGGGATACATTGCAGCATGTGATCAAAGCATGGTGGAAAGTGGCGTGACAGAAGGCGGGAAAAACACCGCCGGGTCCTGCCAGTTTTCTTTTTCGTGAATGAACACAACACAATCACGAAGGCTCAAGCTAAAAAGCAACGATTTTTAAAGTTATCCCAGAAGTTCCCAGAAGAAAAACAGCAGCTAGTGGAGGAAAAAGATGCAGATGATATAAGGAAAGTACTTTTGTTTGTAAATCATTCATTCAGTGGTTTTTAATCTTGCATTTCTGTGCCTCACACTAATAAAAACATGAATAAGCAATGGTGCATTGTGGAATAACTTTCTCCATGAAAAAAGAGGCTTACGGTATTTGTAATGAAGTATATCTGCAGATGTTCCTGGACCTTAGAACGGCATTGCAGCTCTATCTCATCATGAGTTAACTGTAGTTAATGTCTGTAAAACATTTTAGTAATGATGCAACATTCTCAGCTGGTTTGGGTCGTTTTGTCAATGATTAAAGAGCAGAAGTAAATAGTTTCCAGATGAAAAAATCGTTCATGACAAAAAGGTCAACTTTTGTCTGTTTAAAGCTAAGGATATGTGTAGTACACTCTGCTAGTATAGTTGAATTCCGACTTCACTAACGCTAGAGCCCTGGTGGTTCAGTGGTTAGAGCGTCCGATCTAGTGTGCGGAAGGTCGCGAGTTCGATTGCATGGTTTCTCCTTCTTCCCAGTGAAAATGTTCCCTGGAAGTGTAAGTGTGCTTCTCACTAGTACATCATTAAAAATTACTTTACTGAAACTAGCAGAAGCCACACGAGAAACTGAGCATAGAAGTGCAATGCACTCAGCTCCTAGTACAGAAGCGTACTACACTCTGCTGGTATAGTAGAATTCCGACTTGACTAACTCTAGAGCCCTGGTGGTTCAGTGGTTAGAATGCCCGATCTAGTATTCGGAAGGTTGCGAGTTCGATTCTCGCCCAGGGCACGAAAATTTTTGTTGCCCCAGGCGAGCATGGTTTCTCCTTCTTCTAAGTGAAAATGTTCACTGGAAGTGTAAGTGTGCTGCTCACTAGTACATCATTAAAAATTTAAAAAAAATTATTTTTTTTTAAATTTAAAATTTAAAGTTAAAAAAAATTAAAAAAAAAATTAAAAAAATTACAAATTACAAATTCAAAATTTAAAATTAAAAAACAAATTAAAAAACAAAAAGTCGTGAAAATCAGAGCTTTTGAACTGTTGGTTGTGCAAGACAGCACCCGATTTCGTGATCCTTCAGGTTGGTACTAACAATCTCGTCAACCTGAGCCCTGAGGTCGTCGGCTCCGAAATCGAGGACTTGGTGCATTTGCTTTTGGAAAGTTATTCTGTTCGTTCGTTCGTTCGTTTGCCACGTCATACCTTGTGGTGCATCGTCCTCTGAGGCTCCATTGTCCGTCTGCCAAGCCCTGCTCCTAAAACAGTATTTGGAGGTTGTTTTAGATTCGATTCCTCAAGCTTTTTGCTGGACCCATCAGTCTTTTTCTCACCCTCGCAAAGATTTGTGTTTACGGGATGGCGTCCATCTTAATCCAGCCGGTCAATACCACTTGTATTGAAGTTACAGGGGCGTCATTTTGCATGCTTTCACATCCTTACAGCTCGTACCATCTAAACTTTGTCATCCCTAACCATTTTTACGCATGGTGCTCCTATATATTCCTTTCCTAATTTACTGTTTTTATGCTGTTCACATGTTCATAATTTTA